GGTTGAGTCCCCATCCCTGGAGGGATTTAAAAGAGGTGTAGACGTGGTGCTTAGGGACATGGTTTAGTGGTGGACTTGGCAGTGATAGGTTAACGGTTGGACTTGATGATATTAGAAGTCTTTTCCAACCTAAATGATTCTATGATTCTGTGAAACACTGATGGGGCTTTGGGGCAGCAGTAGTAGATGGGGATTCAGGTCCTTGGAGCAGCGTGCTGTCCGAGCACTTTGCATACACTTTGGTGTTTTCACATCATTGCACAGAGCTGTGCTGGCATCAGCCAGCACAGTCTGGGGACATTTAAGCTCCGTCCTTCCAGTTGCTGGCACCCAGGCTTCTTGTCCTACATGCCCATTAATTAGCTTGGATTTTGGTAGTGATTGCACGTACATACATAGAGGATAGAGAGGACACTCACACAAAAAATAGTTAGGAATAGAATTTAGTAAGAAGAAGGTTATAAGACTGTGGTGATCAGGCACAAGGCTCTGTCAGACAAGCATACTAACCAGCCATCTGCTGACAGTCAAACAAACAGCCCCTGTTGTGCTCCCTTTTCTCCATTTGTCCATGCTGCTTCTTCCCCCATCCACCTGGATTGTTCCCTTTCTCCACCCTTTCTCCTTCCATATCAACAACCTGCCCCTAATTCCTTTTTTCCCATTGGTCACATTTTTGCTATGTCCACATCCAAGTTTGGGGTTTCTGGCATAGTTTCCTAGGCAATCTTAGCCTTACATGATATTACTGACACAGTTACGTAGGGACTGCTGGCCTTCCAAGGTGGCGCTCCCCAAAAGGTTTCCAGTACTTGCATACCTGAAGGTGTATCTGCATACCTTCACATACACAGGCTTCCCCACTTGTGGTATTCCCTGGCCAGGAAGATGGGATTTTCCACAGTATCAAAACAATTTCCACCAGAGCTGGACAGCAAACTGTCCTTTGCATGTTGGTTATACATTGTATGAGCTTATGGATCTATGAATGCATCAAGTTGGAATTACCCAGTGATTGATTGAAGGCTTTCTAAATCCTATGATCTTTACTTAACACATGAGACTTTAAAGCTCTCCAGATAGAGACGAGAGGATGCTTGTGCATGATCAAGCATCTATGATTTCATTACTGAACCTAATGAACTATTATCAAGTGAGATGGGGGAGGGATCACGTGTGTGCTTTTAGCTCATCCCATCATGAGGTAGCTTGAATGAGTTGAGGAAGACAAGACTCTGACTGCCTTCACAGATAAATACCTTCCAATTGAGCTAAATCAGGAACAAACACTGAAATTACTGCAGCTCAGCTGTGAATGGCATCTTGCTAAACTTATAATAAAGTCATTGCCTTAATTCAAGTGCCCTTATCATTAGGTGCTAGTGTGAGGAGCTTCAAATTATCCTGTATTCACGATCAAAGGACTCAGGTTTTTCAATCACACGGAGTCTGAAGGAGTTGTAAACAGATAGAAAATACATTTTATCTTCCTTGTTTTTCTTTTCAACAGAGTGATGATATAACCAAGATCTCAAAGGCTGCTAAAATAATGGAGCGGATGGTGAATCAGAACACATTTGATGACATTGCACAAGGTACAGCCCTGCTGGGAGGTGCTTCTGACTCAAGCCAGAACTCTTGCAGATGAGTGGCCACAGCTGTAGCAAGGGTAGAATAGACTAGAGTAGGCTAGAGTAGGCTAGAGTAGGCTAGAGCAAACTAGAGTAGAATGGAAAGGAATAGAATAGAATGGAAAGGAATAGAATAGAATGGAAAGGAATAGAATAGAATGGAAAGGAATAGAATAGAATGGAAAGGAATAGAATAGAATGGAAAGGAATAGAATAGAATGGAAAGGAATAGAATAGAATAGAATAGAATAGAATAGAATAGAATAGAATAGAATAGAATAGAATAGAATAGAATAGAATAGAATAGAATAGAATAGAATAGAATAGAATAGAATAGAATAGAATAGAATAGAATAGAATAGAATAGAATAGAATAGAATAGAATAGAATAGAATAGAATAGAATAGAATAGAAT